CACAAGACACTTCCCCCCCAAGAGTCAAAATGCCCCAGGACAGAGGCCTTGGGACCTCTGGTTTCATTTCCCAGCCTCAAGGGAATCTTGGATTCAGACTTGAACAGGGAAGCGGGGGCAGAGAAAGCTCCAGAACTCCTTTTGTCCATGCTCGTCTGGAAGCAGCAAGAGGACATTTAAAAAAAAAATGGATTTCAACAGCCATGACTTGGGTGCAGCTAAAGATGGGTCAGCAAAGCTCTTGGGGCTGCCCAGAGCGGGACCTGGCGTGTGAAATATGTGTGGTCTGAGCAGAGGCCAAATGAATTGCAGGCGAGCAAGCGCAGAAGGAGAGTAACTCGAGTCCGGGCCCAATCAAAGGAAACTGATACTGTGCATTATAAGCGAGCCTGGCCTTTTGAGACTGTTTGGGGAGACAGCCCTGGCCCTGTGTGGAGTTTCTGGCCTCCTTCTTTCTGCTCTCAGTCCTGAACTTGCCTCGAACTTGAAAGGGCTAATTAAAGCCCAAAGAAAACTCAAAAGCCTGTTATCTGGCTCCATTCCTCCCCGGCCTGGCATTGGCCCGTCTTGCAAAGCTGTTTTCCCTCTGGTCTCTCCCAGGCTGCCATGCAGAGTTAGGACCCACGGCCCTGCTGCCTTCTAGGACTGACTTGGCTTTCTAGAGTGGCCTTGGCCTGGTGGAAGGGCAGGACAGACACCTTCCCCCTGTTTGGTCAGGTAGATCCTCGCAGCTGAGTTGGGCTCCTGAAAGTGTCTCCCAGAAGGACAGGGTTGGAGAGAGGTTTCCACGCAGATGGAAAAGCCAGCAGCCAACAACACTGAGTGACTGCAAAACAATGAGTGTTACACATTACAGGTGTATGCTCGAAAGGTGTAGGACACATGTGCATGTGTATATAAGGAGGTGGAGGGGTGCACATGTGAGTATGGAGATAACAGACAAGGGTTACAGGGTCCAGCTGCAATCATTACAGTCGGGGACCTAAGGCAAGAAGTCATTCACTTTGGGAACTTGGGAGATAGGCATGGACCAGCCCAAAGTTCTCAGAGGAACTTTCTTGTGTGGACAAGCATCTCCACAGGACGTTAATCTTTATGTGCCATATAGCACAGTGGGTAGGGCGTTTGCCTTGCAAACGGCCAACATGGCTGACCCGAGTTCGATTCCTCCACCCCTCTGAGAGCCTGGCAAGCTACCGAGAGTATCTCACCCACACAACAAGGCCTGGCAAGCTACATGTGATGTATTCGATATGCCAAACACAGTAAGAAGTGTCACAATGGAGACATTACTGGGCCCACTCGAGCAAATTGATGAACAACGGGAGGACAGTGACAGTGACCCAGACACACAGCTCACCTTCTCCACCCGGGTTCAACACACAGCCCTCTCATTCATATACCTATTGTCTGCCCCAGGACAAAGGCCCCTCCAAGTTGCCTCCTGCAAGGCCTTAGCAGGGACAAAATAATCCCCTCCCCTGTCTGCGCTGTTCACTTCCACTGCCCTGTCCTTCTGCCCCTTCCTTTGTTCCCTGGAGGTCTCCCGACATCGAGGAACATGTCATGCACATGATTTCTAAGTCAGGGCTCCATTCTACCTGTTTCGTGGACTCTAGCCCTCTCTCTTCTGCTCTGCCTCCTCCATCTCCTACAGACACACAGACCTAAAAGCATACCTCCCCTACAGTTCCTGAGAGACGGTAGAGAAGCACCAACTCCACCGTCAAGCAACAAACTCTTTGCAGGAGCCACAGGGTGGGGAACTCAGGCATGCTGCTGTGTGCCTCTTTCTGCCTCCTTCTCCCCCATACCCACCACAAGTTTCAGTGCCCTGGGAAGGAGGTAACCTCATAATGCTGAGTTAGGGGGCTATCGGTGACCTCCAGGGTCCACCTGGCAAGCAGTCCTTCCTTATGGAGGAATGCCTATCTCCTTTCAAAACTACTCAGGGTCAGGGAGATAGCACTATGACTGGAGAGCTTGCCTGGCATGCAGGAAGCTTCAGTTCAATCCCTGGCACTGCATGGTACCCAAATGACCTCTCAGTACCTCTGGGTGTGGCCAAGAAATAAACAAAAAAGAGATAGATTTAAAAACTAAAATCAGGGTCAGAGAGACAGGAACAGGGTTTAAAGTGCTTGCTTTGCATGCAGCAGACTCCAGTTTGATCCCTAACACCGTATATGGTCCCCTGAGCACCACCAGGAATGATGCCTGAGTACATAGTCAAAATTAAGCTTCAAGCACCACCAGGTGTGGCCCCAATCATTCCCCAAAATGACGTAAATTGGGAGTCCAGAGAGATAGTATAGAGGTTAAGGCACTTGCCTTGTATGTAGTCATGGCCGTGAAAGTGTTAAAATTCCTGGCACTGCATACAGTCTCCAGAGCACCACCAGATGTGGCCCTTGAGCACCAATCAAATAAAGCAGATCCGAACACATTTCACTGGCATGGCATTCTAAGGAATCAAGACTCACCTCCATGCTAATATGCACTTCTACCGGAATTTGCCTCTCTCCTCCCCACCCCCAGGCTAATGGCCAGAGAAGGGTGCTCAAATGCTGCTCGGAATGTTTTACCAGACAAGGAAAAAAAAAAAACTGTAAGAAAGGCATGCTTTTAGCCCCTGGAGATAGATTCTGCAGACCTCTAAAGGAAAAGAGTGAAAGGCCGAAGAAAGCAATAAAGCACATAGAAACTGCCAACAAAATGAGCCCTCCCTGGAGTCTAAAGAAGCATTCCCTAAAAGGGACAATCAGACACCGGAACAACAGCAGGCAAGCTCCAGAAAGAGGACCACCTCTCTTGGTGGCTTGGCCATGCCCCGTGCTGAGCTATGAGGTCCCAGAATGGTCCCTACATCTATCCTCCCACAACCTCCAGAGCTCTTATATGCACCCGGGCCCTGGACTGCTTTTGACTCTTGCCTCTCCACTGGGTCCCTGTACTAGAAGCTCTTCATACACAACAATTTCTGAGCCAGGACTGCATTCTCCCTGCGTTTCATGGACTCCAGCCCTTTCTCTTCTGCTCTGCCTTTCTCCATCTCTTATAGACACAGAGACCTAAAAGCATACCTCCCCTACAGTTCCGTGAGTGCCGGTAGAGAAGCACCAACTCCACCGTCCAGCAACAGATTCTTCCCAGTGGTACAAGCTCAGGAACACCATTCCCACCTTCCCTCCCCGGAACGGTTCCTAGGCTCTGTTCCTCTATGGACAAAAGAGGTGAATAGAGGACAAGCATATTTGATATGCTTCCTAATGTCTTGTTATTTCCTTATTACTCTCTGGCTATTATTCTAGAGCATCCTTCCATTTTTAAAAAAATAATAATAATCTTTCACTTAAAAAAGAAAGGTGCATGTTTCGCAATGCATACAGGATTATTTGGCCCAGGGATTTCAGCTTTTTCATATCCGTGTATCTGCAAAACATGGAAATATATTCCACAGACCTCTAAACAGATGTAGAAACCATTCTTTATGTTAGGAAGGCAAATATATCGGGCCAGGAAGACAATATATGAATAGGTGCTGACTTGATCCCCAGTACTGCATGCCCTTCCACCAGCCATTGCCAATTGTGGCCATCAAGGCCCCTAATGTGACCATAGTGGCCCTTAAGCAATGTTAGGCATGGCTGTGGCGTTCCCTGGCATTGTGGCATTGTGGGGGCATTGCAGCATCAGATCCTTGAACTTTCACAGAACTACCTGATCCAGTTGGTCCAATATTGCTGAGAGCCTCTCCCATGCCCCCTGAGTATTGCTTGAGAGAACTTCCCCAAATAAATAATTTTAAAAATAATATTTGCAGATGGAGTAATAGTCCAGTGGGTATGAAGTTTGCCTTTCATGCGGCCAACCTAAGTTCAATCCCTGGCATCACATATGGTTCCCTGAATACCACCCAGAATGAGTCCTGAGCACAGAACCAGGAGCAATCTCTGAGCATTGCCAAAACAAAAACAAACAAACAAGAACATTACTCAAGATCAGAGAGAGAGAGTACAGGGGTGAGAGTACAGGCACTTGCTTAGTGTGCATCTGACTCTGCGTGGATCCCCAGCACCACATATGATCCCCAGCACCACCAGAAGTCATCTCTGAGCACTGAACCAGGAGTAAATCCAGAACAGCACTGGGTATAGCTCAAATCCACCTCCCATCAAATATTGATATTTACTAATATTAACCTACTGAATATTTACTAACATTTCTAACAGCACTCCTACATAATCAAGGTATACCATTTATATTTTAGGGGGCAAGTCCTCTTGTATGGAAATTTATGCAAACGGAAACATCCACAGAACAGTGGCTTAAAAATCACAGCTCTAACCTTGAATGGGGCTAGGGGCCTCTGCTACCTCAGCACTCTGCCTGTTCCCACCTATTCCCACCTGCTCCTCCTGCTCCCTCCAACACCTGTGATTCAGAAAGAAAATCGACACTGGTGGTGAAGAATGTGCACTGGTGGAGGATGGGTGGAGGATCATTGTATGATTGAAACTCAAACATGATAGCTTTGTAACTGTATCTCACGGTGACTCAATAAAAAAAAAAATTTACACGCTGCACATTATAAATGTGAGCCAATTTTCCATTAGAGAAAAAAGAAAAGAAAAAAGAAAAGAAAAGAGAGAGAGCCACCGCAGAGAGCAATGTCTAGGCTGGAGAGAAAGTACAGAGGCCAGAGTGCGTGCCTTGCAGGAGGCCAACCCAGGATCGATCCCCAGAGTCCCACTTGGAGTGATCGCTAAGTGCAGAATCAGGAGAAAGTCCTGAGCAATATCAGGTGTGGCCTGAAACCCAAAACCAACAAACCCAATGAGCAATCTCCACTTCAGCGGCAGCCCCATGTCAAGGACACGGAAGGCTTGCTCTAGGGAGGAGTCCCCACTCCACCCCAAGACGCCGAGATGAGAAAGACTGACCCCACCACCACTTCTCCACCCCCACGAGCTGGGGAGGCTGAGTCCAACGCTACTCACCGCGCTGCTGCAGTGCACATCCTTGACCTTGAGCCAGGCCAGGTCGAGCGTGCCCTCACCCCGGTAGCAGGACTGCAGCCGCTCCTTGATGCGGTCATTGATCTGTTTTAAGATGAAGATGCACAGGGCCGACTCGTCCAACGATTTCATCTTGCGCTTCTGGCCTTTGGAGAAGACGGTGAAGAGGAGGTCATCCTCAGCACGCACCCCGAGGGTCCGCGCCAGCACGGCCCCAGCTTTGGACAGGTAGGCGGCCTGCAGCAAGCGGTACTCCACCCCATTGCGCTCGCAGCCGATGGGTACCTCCACGTACGAGTTGAAGGCCGTGTCCTCCTTGCACAGCCGCACCAGCTTGGAGGTGTACACCTGCTCCTTGGTGGTGGAGCCCGGGGGAGAAACCATCTCGGGTTGCAAGGTCAGAAAGTAGACAAAGTTGCCACTGCTAAAACCATAGACATAGTAGATGTCAAAGTCAGGGATGACGGTGAAGGTATCCGAGGGGATCTTGATCATGGAGGCCACAAACTCGTCATGGAAGACATATGCAAACATGCCATCTGCCTCCGAGTTCTTGGTCAACTTCCGGCTGGAGATGGTGGGGAAATATTCCGGCTTCCCGTCCACTGCCGTGGCGATAAATAGCTTGTCGTCCAGGTTGCTGTAGGAGACAATCACACCAAAGACTGAGCCGCTCTCATTGACCCCCGACAGGTAATGCTCCTTTTTGTGGAAGGGCTCCCCCAGCTTGAAGAGGTCCTCGAGTCGCAGCAGTTTGCAGATGCCCTGGTACAGGCTCCCACAGGCGATGAGCCGGTTCTCCTTATAGTCAATCAGCAGCATCTTGTTAACATTGTTGGTGGTGGTCAGGGGCTCGTGGCACGTCTGCACGATGCGGGGCGGGTAACACTTGGGGTTGTCCTCGTCCGGCCCCGTCTGGTGGGTCACCAAGACCTTCAGGTCACTGGAGAGCTTGTAGATCCGATTGACGGCGCCCAGATACAGATGCCCTGTCCTCTCATCCACCACCAGGTGGTTGAAGCCCTCCGTGGGCTCCCCGCGGAAAGTGACAAAGGACCGTTTGGGGGATGGTGCCGGTGGTGGTTGCCGGGGGAGAAGTGTGGAGGAGCCCGGCCCCAATATCAGAAGGTGGGCAAGCAGGCAAGTCCAGGGCCACAGCATGGCTTTTATGGCAGGCATGAGTCCACAGTGCCTAGCACGGCGTCTTCTCAAAGAGCCAGGACCCAGGAGCGGGGCTTCCTGCAGGGAAGAAAAGCGGTCAATGTCAGCTGTCACTTAAAACTTCCTTACACCACAGTCTAACACCCACAGCCCACACTGGAGGCCTCTGCACCCACTCTGAATCACACAGGGGTGATGTGGCATGAACAGTTCCCCCCCGCATTATGAGAGAGTCCAAGTTGGGGGGCAGCTCTGTGGAAGGGTACTGCATACATAGCCACTATGGCAGGAATGGGCAGACTCATGCCAACAACAGCAACAAAGATGACAATGCGGACAATGAGATCAGTATCACCTCCAGAAGGCTGAACAGTAAAGACGCCCCATCTAGCCTTGTTTAGAGATTCATTCCAGCTCACATCCCCGGCAGGGCCAGCTCTCCCCCACCCACCCTGCAGATCCCCCATCCACTCTCCAAACCCTGCTGTGACCCCAGAAAGAAAGAATTTGGTCCATGTGGGGGCTGACACTCCCCAACCCACCCATTCAGATACTGCAAAGTTCTGGAGTCTCTCTGAGCAAGACTGCTTCTCAGACAGCCAGGAGAAGGTGTTAGGAGACCTAGAGGAGAGGGTCTCTACCACGTGGAGAATACCCTCAGACCAAGAATGGAGAGGGGTCCACAGAGCAAGAGTCTGAGCCTTGTGCCCAAAGAGCTGTATTTGGGTAATGTGCTTCCTGAAAGTCAAATCAACCATTGCAAAGAGCCAGAAGATTTGTCAGGACATGCTTGGGAAGCTGAAGGAAAATGCATGGAACTGGGGTGGGGGTGCCAGGGGGACTTCCCATAGGGAAGTCTCCATGTTCCTGTTGGTTCAGCTTTCATGTCGAGAGAGTTGAGCTGGGCAGTGAGGCCTGCAGTCTCCTGGCAGGGTTTGCCTGGCTCCCTGGAGTGTATCCCCAGCACCAGACACCAGCCTAGTCTATTGTCAAGGCTTCAGAACTTTCTAACCAGCAGAAATAAGGGACAGATGCTAAGAGTAGAATTGTCTGGGTCCAGAGATCAAGAATGACACATGGGTTCCATGCAAATGCTCTCTCCTGGGCCACATGGTCAAATCGCCACCTTTCACCACAGCCTGGACGGTTTTATAGTCATTTCTGGTTAAGGCAATGTTCAGTATGAGAGGGTATGTGGCTCATACAGAGCAGAGCTGGAGTCAGAACCCAGGTCTGTACCACTGCAAAAATCACTCTTCTTTCTAGAAGCAAGCAACTGCAGGTGATGGAGCTTTCAGAGGACCTTCAAAAACGTATATGAACCCCAAGCACAGAAGTCCCTGGATAGCACCCACTAATGCCTTCCCACCAGCTCTGCCGGGGGGAAATAAAGCAGAAGACCAGAGAGCCAGAGAGCATAACCTAAAAGGGCCTGCCTGCCTGCCAACAGGCACCCACGCAGGAAGTGCTAATGACCAGAAAGTGCATGGTGCTGAGCTGAGGTCCAGGACAAAGTAATTGATGACTGCCTAACTGATCATTGATTAAATGATAGCAGTGGTTGGCATCATGGCTGAAATTAGATGAAAAGAATTAGGACTTTGATAACCAGATGGTCCAAGATGGTACCATCTCAATTAGGGTGATGAGGCGTTCATACAGATCCTCTGGAATTGCCTGTACAAATTGAACTATCAGAAAAGAATCTGGATGGTTTTCCATCTGAAGGATTTAATCCAATTCAGTGATTCCCAGTCCCTGATTTTAGCAACTAGAAAAGCCAGAGAAATCTGTTGTCTCACAGGAGGTGACATAGTAAGTCACAGGGAGGATAGTGGGGGTGTGGACTACACTCAGGTGTCAGTGCTTCTGTCACCACCAACAGCTGTCACCTGCCTTTATCAGGAGCAACTTTGGCACCAGCTCCCTGGCCTTCTTGTGAGAGGAGACAGGAGGATGTTCTCTGGGAGCAACATGCTCTGCTGGCTACCCAATTCTCGGAAGTGGCTTCCAACCCCAAAATTCCACAGGTGGGCTGGAACGATAGTACAGTGGGCACGGCATTTTCCTTGCATTCAGCTGACCCGGGTTCGATCCCCAGCATCCCATATGGCCCTCCAAGCACCTCCAAGAGTAATTCCTGAGTACAGAGTCAGGAGTAACCCCTGTGCATTGCCAGGTGTGACCCAAAAAGCAATAAACAAACAAACAAACAAACAAAATTCCACAGGTGTAGACTAGGGCATAATCTTCAACCCTCTGCAGAGAACTTCCTGGAGCCCCTATAAGGGAAGTCAACTAGCCCTGGGGGAAGCAAATCTGCATACTGTGAGCACTCAAAGTCTCAGAGCCATGCAGCAGTGTTGTCCAAGAGACAAGAAGAGGATGTCCCTGTAATTAGGAACTGACCAAGAAGAAAGGTGCCAAGGCATATTTCCCATTGCTTATCTGACATTCGCGTGACACACAGTGAAGCAGCTCACTTTCCCTCCTTCCAGACTGGTGAAGTGACTATCTCTGGGAAAGAGGGCACCGAGGGCCACGTATGAGGTCTTAGACTTATACCCAAACCAAGGGCCCAGTTTGCCCCACCAAAGATACCACTGGACACAGAGGTGACCTAGCTGCCACCTTCCTATGCTAGAGCTGCCAAACCTCGCTCCTCAGGATGTCATGGTTTAGGCAAACCTAAATTTCCCATCACTTCCATTCCATTCCATTCCACCAACCCCGGTGATGGATCATCTCAACCTAGGAAACCTCCACCCAAATCCACCATTTCTCAGTTGATCATTTAGCTGGTTACAGTACTGGAGGTCCCCCACTCTGCCACACTCTGATTATAACAGGCAGCCAGAATAGGTATTCCCCACTATTGGAAAGCTCTTATCCTGTCGCCCCACTTTTACAAAAGGACTTGGAGTCGCTGTTTTCACTACAGTCGCCTTCAGCATCTGTTTTACAATGAGGATGGCAGAGGTACTGGCATCCTAGGGTTTAGTGGCCTTACCACACTTCTTCCCCAGGAACTAGTTTGTGTGGGTCCTGTACAAATCAGCTCATTCCTGTTTGACTGTGCAGGCATGTTGTGTTTAGCTGTGAGGTACTTGTTGGTAATGTGTAGGTTATATTTTGGGCCACCCACATGCCAAGGACATTTTAATAGCACTTGAGCCACACCTCCACTCTTATCCCTTAAAAACAAGACACATGATCAACATCCCTGCAGGATTGCCCCCCCCCCCAAAAGGACTCACTGAACTGGGTAGAGTGAGAAAGGGATATAAAGACAGGAAGTCAAAGTCTCCGAATCAAACCCAAACACAGTGCAGTTTTCCCTTCTTTGAAATCAGATTTTAATTCTGAGTGATCTCCAGGGAGATGGGACTCATTTTTAGAAACTGATCATCATTGTGATTGAAGAAATTGGGGCTGTCTTTGTTTTACGTGGCAAGTGCTGAAGAGCTCAAACTAATTTTCATGAAATCGCACCATTCTCTCAGATTCCTGAGTGGTAGAGAAGAAAGTTATTACATAGTAGTTTAAAACAGCAATTACTTCACAAAATTACGCTCGAGTTTACTAAGTGTTTTCTGATTTCATTGTTCACAGCAACGCGGTTCAGGAGAAGAGGTATTTACTAGGGTAGTGGCTTTACAGACAAAGAAACTGAGGCATGAAAAGGTAGAGATCTCAGCAAGAAGTCCCACACAGTCAGAAAGAAAGGCCTTAGCACTCCTCAGCTACCCACTGCACCTTACCTGGCCCTCCAAACTGAGTCCAACCCTCAAGAGCAATGTCAGTGGGTAGCAAATTAAGAAGATGTATTCTAAGATGGTGTTTCAATGACCATAAATTACAGCACACCACTCACCTAGATGCCAACTATTATTTTTAATGAAATAAGAGAAAAATAAAAATTAAGAGTGTGTCACATTAAAGAATGATAAGTTTGTTTTTTTTTCCTTTTTGGGTCATGCCCAGTGAGGCTCAGGGGTTACTCCTGGCTCTGCACTCAGGAATTACTGCTGGCAGTGCTCGGGGAACCATATGGGATGCCAGGGATCAAACCCGGGTCGGCCACATACAAGGCAAACACTCTACCCACTGTATTGTTGCTCCAGTCCCATGATAAATTTGTTAAGAAGACTTTTGTTGAGACATATGGATCTTTGGATATATACACACATATATATGCACATGCATACACTCAACATATCCACATATACTTGTATGCACTCAATATGTCATATATCTGTGTACATACACATGTAACAAATACAGATTCTTAATATGTACATGCATACATGTATAAACATAGATGTGTATGTATAGAAGACAGATTCAATGCATTCATATGTACATCCATAGTTTCAATAGTACACCTACATATGCATGTTGTGTATATGTAATACTCATGTACACACAGCTACACATTTGAGTGTGATGTCAATATGTTTTCTAATTCTTGATCATCATGAAGGGTAATTTTACAGGTCTACTTGGCTGGGGCACATCACCCATTTATATGGTCAAATTTTGCCCTGCATGTATCTGTGAGGGTGTTTGGGGATGAGATTCACATTTAAACCAGAGGACTTGAAGGAAAGTATACTCTTCCCTATAATGTAAATGAATGGCCCTTCCAGTCAGCTGAAAACAGAATAGAACAAAAGACTTTGCTCTGCTCCAGAGGGACTCCTGCCAGCAGATGGCCTTGGACTTGAACCCACTAAGAGCTCTCTCCTGCATCTCAAGCCTAGAGGCCTGTCCTGCAACTTTTGTCCTTGGAGCGCCTATAATGAAACGAGCCAATATGTAAAGTAAATACATGAGGACCCTACATCTTCTTCCGAGTGTGCTGTATTTTATGTACGGAGAGAGTTATATCTCTAAAGGTATGTGTATATCTTGTTTATGTTTCCCTGGAGAACTCTAATACGGTCATGGTCAAAACAACCTGAAATACACTAGAAGTTTCCATGGTTTTGGCTTCTCTTCACCTCTCTCAGCCCTGATGATTCTAAAGGAATAACACCAGCTGTCCGGGATTTCTCCCGACCTGGGCCCAACCCAAT